ATTTCCTGATCACCTTTACACATTACGAGTAAAAGGTGGAGGAAGTTTGCACAGTATACTTCATCGTTTCATTTCGTTTCATTTTTTCACCACAGTAATAAAAAATATCCCATAGAAGATGAAGAGAATATGTTAAATTTACTCAAAAAAATTGCCGCCAATGAATATAATCTGATTGAACCAAAACTCATACGGCAGTGTCGATGAAAGAATATTTAAACTTGATTTAATGTTTCTGGAAAAAGAAAAGTTAGTATTCGTTCATAACATGTTTAAATATTAATTACTGGCACTGTATATCGTAGAAAATTCAATTGATAATACATTTATGGTTAAGGTCCTTACTGAAGATGAATATTCACTAATAAGAAATATTTTGAATGATTTGACTGTTTATCCAGATGATAAATGTTTAAAATATAATAATCAAAGATAAAAATACCTGGCTGGTTATTGGAAAATTGACTAAGGACGGTAATAACAACCTGGCTAAATTTCTAACCGATGATTTTTTTCGATTGAATTGAAACCTAAATATTGTATATTTTTAAAACCAAAAATTGTAGTTTACTGTTTTATTACATAAAATTCTTATGTACTTAACTATGTCACTGTACAAGGTGGTCTGAATTGTAATCAGGAAACTTATTTTGCAGATAAAAATAAGTTAAAAAGTTCGTATAAATTGTTTTTTTGCGGCAATATAGGAATTTCATTTTTTTTTAATGTACTACCTATGTTGCCATATTATCAAGAAATTATATTTCTTTAATAAAAACTAAAAAAAGTTCCAAAAAATTTTCAAAAAATTCTGAATTTTCAAAATGTTTTTTTTCGCTAAAAAAACTAATAGCCTGTGTGTTCTGGGGTTGAACTATACTACCATTTATATTTTAACCTCTATGATACTACCAGTTAAAATACTTGCACTTATTTCTGGGACACCCTGTATAGTATGGAGCAAAATCACAATATGCATCTCAATCTCAATTTGATAAACACATTCATTAAGCAAAAAGTGTATTGTGTGTGTGTGCAGTTGTAATGGGAATTACTAATACTTCATTACTAATAGGGACTTATTGGTTGTTAGCACTGTACTCTGTATGAAAAAAAAATTGTATACAGGGTCCGGTAATAGAGCGTTGGGCGTCTCTAGCTCCTAGAATAAAAAAAAACTTGGGAATTTTGTTTAAATGAAAACCTAAAGTATGTACAAGGATGTATTTTAGGAAAAAAATTTAACTTCTGTAGGGTCGATGAAAAAAGTGGTAAAAGTATGAGGATGAGTTCCACACCCTGTATATTATTGCATTTTTAGGTATTTTTCAGTTCACTTTACATAATCCTAAGATATGAGTAAATACCTACATTTCGATAGTTTCAAAGATATTAATAAATAAATAAAAGATATATATTTTTTAGCCTTCCTTTATTAAAAATACAAGAACTGTGTTGAGATTCAAAACTATATTAGGTATTTACTTTAGGTCCGTACTTACTTTGCTATAAATATGGTAATCGTAAATCATACAGAATGTTCAGAATTCTACGCCAAACTTTCTAAGCTATAAAATATTTTTTCTTCGTATTTTTTTTTTAAATGGAATACACTGTATATTATTATTTCAATAGATGGAGAATTAGAAAGCACTGGAATTAAAAAAGTACATTCCTTCTCATTGGTTGTTTTCCAATATTTAAAAAAGATATTGGCTAATCTTTTAATGCATGTCGAATTTGCTTGACGGATATTTTTAAAATAAGCTAAGTAGGGATGTTCAAAATACATCGATGCATCGAAAACATCGATATTTGCATTGCGATGCATCGCTTCTATTCAATGTATCAAATACAATTCAATATATCCGATGCATCGATGTATTTCATCCGATGTATCGAAATATTTAGTTGGCTAATTAAGGTGGAAATGTAAATTGAATTGGATCGGAAACTGCAAATCAAAACAATTTCGAATGCAGCAATCGCGAGTTGCACGGCTATTGTGCACGCCACATCCCACTTTCCTTTCTTTTTCTTGTGTAGCAAATTGATGAAAATAAATATACAAAGCACTTTAAAACATTAGCTTAAGAAGTGTAATAGGACATAGACCAAATTTATCTATGGTATAGGACTTCTTATTTCATTTTTGTGGCTTAAAAATGTAATTTCCAAAATTATATAATTTTGCCTACAAACATTTAACCATGGTTGCCAGTTAAGTGCAATCCGCGCGATTTTTCTCAAAAAGTGGACAACCGATGAATCAGCAGAGAAACAGGCTTAAAGAAAACCGGTCTTCTTAAAAGTAAAATTATATTTTTACAAGGCTTAGACAAGAAGAAATGGAGAGTAGAGATGAGGAGAGAAATATCTCTTATGGGACTTTGGGAAAAATGAGAAGAATAAGGGTTCACCAAATAACCACAGTGGCGCTAATGACGCATAAATCTGAAAAATGAAAACTAACCATAATAAGAGAATAAAAGTAACATATCTCACATTATTATACAGGGTGAGTTCCCTACGATGTTCTCTATGGGTATCTCGGAAACTACTGGAGATAGAGAGTCGGTTAAATGGGGAAAGAATTGCAGTTTTGTGGGGTTATAAATATGCGCCTTTCAGATTTTTGAAAAAGTTCGTGGCTTACTAGATATTTCGAAAAAAACAAATTTTGGCTATTTCAATAATTGTCTCTAATTCCATTATAATCTATTTTAGACAAAAAGTTTTCAGATAAAAGTTGTAGATAATCACATCCTTAATGAGGTTGTGTCCTCCGTTTTTCTCTAAAGCCTGTCATTTTTGAGATATGATACAAACATATGTTTTTTTTTAAATGGAAAGCATAGTTGGCCATGGCTTCATTAAGCTTTTCAGCGATATAAGCTATAATATGTTTCTTTCGAAAAATTACTGAGTTATAGCCAATTCTTATCATTTTTAAACAATTTCACTTAGTTAGCCATGGGAACGAGTCCAATTGTCGGTGCTCTCAGTAATATGAAACTGTCACATTCAAACTTTGTAAATTAAAATAAACAAAAAATTGTAAATATGAATTTTCCAAATGAAAACAAGTGTGTAGGATTATTGGTTCAACTTTTGCCATACATTTTCGAGAAGTTGACCGGTGAACGTTACTTACGTTTTTTAGAAAAGTTAAATTTAGATACTCGCGCATCAATAGACTGGTTCCAACATGACTTTCATTATGACACTCCCCATCATAATGAAAGAAATGTAAAAAAGGAAGAGGTAGGAAGAGGTGGACCAATTGCATGGGACCCTTGATCACCTGACTTATCCATTTTAGATTTTTTATGCGGTATGGTTAAAGTTTATTAAAGTCAACCGGCCGTTCTGTGGGAAAAGCTTGTAATTCAGTTTTAAAAAGATGCATTCTATACTCAAAACAATGGTGGTTTTTTTGAACATTTGCTAAAATAATTTAAAGTGTATATAGTTTAATAAAATATTCTGTCTTTATATAAGTTATAAATCATAACAGAATAAGAATACCATGCCAACTAAGTGAAATTAGCCAAGAAAGATAAGAATTGGCTATAACTCGTAATTTTTCGAAAAAAAAACATATTATACTTATATCGCTGAAAAGCTTAAAATATGGCGCTTTTTATGAAGTCATGGACAACTACGGTTTCCATTTAAAAAAACATATGTTTGTGTCATATGTCAAAAATGACAGGCTTTAGAAAAAATCGGAGAACACAAACTCATTAGGGATGCAACAACTTTATTTGATCTACAACTTTTATCTAAAAACTTTTTGTCTAAAATAGATTATAATGGAATTAGGGACAATTATTGAAATAGCCAAAATTTGTTTTTTTCAAAATATCTAGTAAGCCATGAACTTTTTCAATATTCTGAAAGGCGCATATTTATGACTCCACAAAACTACAATTCTTTCCCTATCTATAACCGACTCTCTATCTCCAATAGTTTCCGAGATACCCATAGAGAACATCGTAGGAAACTCACCCTGTATTGTCAACCAAACATTATCCAAAAAAGCTTTGTTTTTATTTTTTTAGAACATAAAACAATTATTTTTTTATATTAGAGGCCCAGTCCTATTGCTGCTGAATAAAAATCGATAATTTATTTCCTGTGACATGAAAATAAAATTTGTATTTTTTTGAAACCCGCGCCTTCACGTCAAATATATTTAAAACTTTTCGGCGCATATTTTAAATTTTAGATTTTTGCTACAGCAGCGCCATCTTAAGTCTTCCCCTTTTAATGCACAGAGATGTTTCTCCATACCTCTACACTATACTACTCCATACAAGAAGTACAGGAACTTGTAATAGTCCCAGTACTTCTTGTGACGATTCCATATGTGAAAGGAACATCGGAGAAGAACAGGCGATACTTGAATCATCAAACCCAGAGAGAGAGTGCATCTAACAGGTACCTTCTGAGTGCGGTGAGTCGTACATTGGAGAGGCAGAACGTCCTCTAGATGTACGACTTGACAAACATAAGAAATATACGCTAAGAGGTGAAACAATGAAGTCGGGCATTGCAGATCATGTGTGGTCCAAGCACCACCACATAAAATGGTCGGAAGCCCGGGTTGTCCACAAGACAATAGAAGTCCGAAACTCTTTTAGTTTTTATATTTTTGAGTTGAGAATAACGTTTTCTGTTATTATATCATCCATCCACCCCATCAATTTGTAACTACAAATTAATAAATAATATTAATTTTTGTACAAACCAAGTTAATGTTAACAAAACTTCTCATGTTGAATTCGATACATCGCAACATCGATGTTTTTTTCGAATTTACATCGATGGATTTTATACGTGGACATCCTTAAAGCTTAGTAGGTACTTCAGAAATAAAACCATTCGTAGTTTTCATGACTCATTTTTACAGGAAAATATTTCAATCTTGAGATAAGATAATATTTTCTAATAAAAGCTACTCCAATATGCAGCAAAAATAATATTTAGTACAGTAAGATAAGTCGTGTAAAGTGTTCTGTTTGTTTTAAAAGTACCTCACAAGATAATACAAAAGAGATGTTTTCAAACAACTTAACTACGACATTTAGTTATCTGTCTTTGGAAACCCGAACTTACATCAATAGGCTTGCTACAAAGTTGAATGGACTAAAAAGAAACTTCGGTAAATTGATGATATATTTAGAACCAGGCGATGAATGGCCAAATGTGATTGTGGCATATCCAGATCCTAGAAACCCATGCTGGTATTGTGAAATTTTTGATTCTACCGATTGGTCAGAAGAAGCCTTAAACGGAACAATAAATTTACCTATTTTTATTAATAGACTGTACAAAATGAGAGAAAACGTTAATTATGATTCACCCCTAATGCAAATCGTTATTTATGTGAGAGGAAAGTTAGTGTTTGATGATCCAATGTTTCTTTTTCGTAGAATACCAACAGTACTATATGAGCGTGGTGGTTATCATCTTAATAACGAAGGCCGTAATGATACTATAAACCAGCTACTTAACATGACAGAATTCGACAAAAAGACATTTTTAGATTTCCTAAAGAGAATTAGATTCTACCCCATTGAATATATCCGTGATTTTGATCGGTTAGATAGATACAATGCCATTCTTACACAAGCTTTTAATCCAGGAATAGCTACCGAGTCCTTCGACGCTATTTTCACAAAAATCGATTCTTGTTTTGAAAATGGTTCCAATAAGGATTGTGATTTTGATGTTAATTTAGAATTATTTCGAGGTTATCAAATCCATTTTGCTGTCCATCCTGAATTATTAGTAGAATTTTTCAAAAGCACCACAAAGAGAATTTTATACATCAAAACTGAATCGTCTTTTCTGACTATTTTAAGAATAATTGATCTCCTTTCCAAGGAAGAAATATTTTTGCCTTCCAGAAATAAATTTAACTTCACCGAATGTTTAACATACTGGCTAAATTCACACCATAATATATTTATAATAGAAGATACAACATCGATGGAAACAATGCTTTCTGAACTATCACTCGTATTAAGCAGAGACTCTAAATTTAGTAATAGCAACAAAAAGGTAATTTTAGTAAACCAAAGTCACCAAATATCAAATAATGCCCTTCAAACTATTGATAGTTTTGATGATAAAGGGTGGTTCACTGATTTGAGCGAGGATGTTCAAAATTATTTAGTGACCAGAGAAATATCTTTTCAAGGCTTCTATGTCAAATTAGAGGATGTTCTGGATAAAAATACCCTTTTAAAAACTCTTGATGCGCCCACCCTAGAGAGGCTAATTCAAGGTTGGAAATTGACAATTGATTTTACGAACAAATTTACTCATATGTTTCCTGACACGTTAAAAAGGACGTTAAGAAGACAGCTTGTCAACAGAGATGTGCTTAATAGTGATTTTTTATCTAACAATTTAGTACTTTTATCAAATATTACTGCAGAAGGTCTATCAAAATTAAAAATAGAAGCTGTTCCGTATAGTGAATGTGAAAATCATAAAAGTGGACTTTTCATCTTTAACAATTCCGAAGAAAATTTAAATAAATTTCATAAACTTTGCGGAGATAGAACTGAGAAAGCAATTTACTGGTTAGAGTATAAAGAGTCCAAAGAGAGAGAAGAAAGTCTATTATTTTTAAAAGACTTTTCTGGGAATACTGACAGTTTTCTGGAAAACTTAGAAGATTTGCCTTTCTCGGAAGAAATGGAAGTGCATACGTATGTACCAAATAATAAAGTTAATATTGTCACTGCCTTACCCGGTATGCGAAAAAATGAATTTGTTCGTGGATACTTGTCAGGGGCATTTAAATTAAACAATCTAACTTACTGGGTATTTTTCGACATTTTTTTGGAAAATGAAGGATTGGATAGACTTTCAAAACAATTTTTAAACAAATTCGACTATTCTCGCCTGATAATTTTCTGCAACTTTGAGAACCTAGTCAAATTAAAAACACAAGATGTAGTTGTAAAACAAATACAATATTTAGCTTCTAAAAAATGTACAATATGGATAACTTGTGACTTAGAATCCAGAGTGAAGGTGCAAATTCTATTACAAACTGCAGCTTACAGAATAAATCCGTTAAAAGGCCCAGAAAAATTTTACTATTTTGTCAAAGAAACTTGCGGTCATTATTATGATGTAATCCCAGATTGGACAAAAACTAGGTACTACAAACTTATGAATATAATTGATATTTGTGACCGCGACAGATATTCTAAAATCGAATTTACAGCATTTCCTGGCCATCTTTACAGATTAACAAGAAGACGTGGCGGAAGAAATTTGCTCAGTATACTTCATTCGTTCATTTATTATAAACTTTTTTACGACGGTAATGAAATATATCCCATAGAAGATAAAGAGAATATGTTAAATTTACTCAAAAAAATTGCCGCCAATGAATATAATCTGATTGAACCAAAACTTTCATACGGCAGTGTCGACGAAAGAATATTTAAACTTGATTTAATGTTTCTGGAAAAAGAAAAGTTAGTATTCGTTCATAACATGTTTAAATATTATTTACTGGCACTGTATATTGTAGAAAATTCAATTGATAATACATTTATGGTTAAGGTCCTTACTGAAGATGAATATTCACTAATAAGAAAGATTTTGAATGATATGACTGTTCATCCAGACGATACATGTTTAAAATATAATAATATATTCAAAGATAAAAATTCCTGGCTGGTTATTGGGAAATTGACTAAGGAAGGTAATAAAAACCTGGCTAAATTTCTAACCGATGATTTTTTTCGATTGGATTGAAACCTTTATATTGTATTTTATTTTTAAAACCCAAAAATGTAGTTTACTGTTTTATTAAATAAAATTCTTATGTACTTAACTATGTTACTGTAAAGAGTGGTCTGAATAATTGCAATCAGGAAACTTATTTTTCAGATAAAAATAAGTTAAAAAGTTCGTATAAATTCTAAATTGCTTTTTTTCGAAAATACAGGGTGGAAAAATTTCATTTTTAGTTTGATTTTTTCAAAAAAATAATGATTAATTTAAAAAAATATAAAAGTTGCTACATTTACCATTTCAGCCATATAACTATCTAGTAAACATGTATATTTTTTGTCAATAATGACATGTGTTTACTATTTCCATTCCAAATATCTTGGGAACAGTTGAAGACTTGAAATAAATAATGTTCAAAATGCCAAAATATCGGTTTGCCATGTTTTATTTGTAAAACGTCCTAAATTCCATAACCAACAACGTATACAGAGTGTTTCAAAAATCATGTGCCATCTCTCGTGGGAGATTCCTCACGTAAAAATAAGATTTATTTTTCATATCAACATAGGTCCGATTCTGCTTTGCTTCGTAGCTAGAGGGGATTAAAGTCTTCATCTTTTTTCGATTTATAATAATTTTCTAAGTACTTTTAGCGATTCGAAATAAATTTTGCGGGCAAAAGGTACTATAAGTACCTCATATTTAAATGCTAATAAAATATCGACAGAATCACCAGGGGCGTACATATGGATTATAACTGGAATATTTTTCTAAAGAAGCGTGTACGCCAGTGACTTTTTTTTCGTGTTAGCGAAATGGTGTAATCCGTTTAATGTCGATTAAAAGTTGTCTCTTGATATTTTGTCGATTTTGGCCTCCTTGATTAGATAAACGCAATTTTATTGATATGTCATAAGCCAATTCTAATACAACAATGCAACAAACAACCTTTAACAAATTTTAATATCATTAACTTGCGAAAGTGTTAATTAAGTACTCATTAATTCCTCATCAAAAAAATATGAAAAAAAGTTACTATAAACATGAGTATGGAAATGCATAGTTTTAAAGTTACAGGATGTTAAAACTTTTAAAAAATAAGTCTTTTACTTGAAATTGCTGTAGGTTGGAATAATAGTAATAATAACTCATAGTAATAATATTTAATGACACTCAAAATACGGATTTAATTAAAAATATAACAACGAAACTATAAAATGCTCTCATTCAATGTATATGGACGATATTAAATTGTACGCCTCTAACAAAAAACAACTAGAAGCCCTGATCAAAACTACCGACAGAATTACCAGAGACATCAACATGGAGTTTGGGTTTGACAAATGTAAGAGCATAAGCATAAACCGTGGTAAAAGATTGATGGAAATTTTTGAACTAGACGGTGGTGGCATTATAGCAGCAATGAAGGAAGAGGATATATATATAAGTACTTGGGTATTGAACAAAATAAAATAATACAGCAAGGAACAGCCAAAGAAAGAATAAAACAAACATTCAAGAATAGAATAGATCTCATCGCAAGAACATACTTAAACAGTCACAACCTAACTAAAGCAATAAACACATTTGCTATCCCAGTACTTACATATTCATTCGGTATCATTCACTGGTCCCAAACAGACCTTGAAAACCTGCAAAGATTAGTAAGAACAACACTAACAAAACACCGTAAACACCACCCAAAATCATGTACTGAGAGAACAATACTACCCCGAGCACTAGGAGGTAAAGGACTCATAGATATCAAAAATATGCACAATAAACAGATACATAATTTAAGAGAATACTTCTATATTAAAGCGCAGAGTTCACAGATCCACCAAGCTATAGTACAAGCAGACACAGATATCACACCACTGAAATTAAAAAAACAAAATTACCATCATGAACAAAAAGATAACCTCCATAAGCTGACATCATGGAAACAAAAAGCTCTTCATGGACGTCATCCTAATGAAACCAGTCAGGAGTACGTTGACTTTGAAGCGTCAAACGCATGGCTGAAAGTGGGAGACCTCTTCCCGGAGACTGAAGCTTTTATAGTCGCTATTCAAGATCAAGTTGTAAATACACTTAACTACAGAAAATACATCATAAAGGATCGCACAGTTCTAACAGATAAGTGTAGAAGATGTGGAAAAACTGCCGAAAGTATCCAACATATCACGGGTGCGTGTAGCATGATAGCACAAACAGATTATAAACAGAGACACGATAATGTAGGTAAAATAATTCACAAGATACTGATACAGAAGTACAACCTAAAAGCAGATAAAACACCTTACTACAACTACATAGCCGAACCAGTCCTAGAAAACGAAACACATAGAATCTATTGGGATAGGAGTGTAATAACAGATAAACACATTGAACACAACAGACCGGACATAATACTGACGGATAAATTAAAAAAAAATACGTTCCTTATAGATATAGCTATTCCAAACAATAACAATTTGCAAGCAACATACCGAAATAAAATCGAAAAATACATGGATCTGGCTAACGAAATAAAGGAACAGCGGAGACAAGAAAAAATTACCATAGTACCAGTTATTATATCCACCACAGGAGTGATTCCAAAAAATCTCATAGAAGCAATAAAAATACTAGACCTCCCATCAAAAATATATATAAACCTGCAGAAAGCGACCAGACTTAGTACGTGTAACATAGTTAGGAAATTTTTAGGCTAAAAACACAAACTGACAGATTTATGCCGTAAAAAGCCGATTTGTTGGTCATTACCGACTAACGCAGTGACAGTCGTGAAAAGAAAGAAATATTTAATAATAAATTAAATGAAATAAATAATTTATTAATTTAATTTTTATTTTAATTTTATTAATAATTGTGATCAATAAAATAGCGTTTATCTCATCGAGGAGATCGAAATCGACAAAATATCAAGATACATCTTTTAATTGGCTTTAATCGGCCTATACAATATATAATATTGTCAAAAGAAAAAAAACAGCGGCGCACATTTTTTTTTAAAGCATATTCCAGTAATAACCCATATGCACGCCCGTGATGAATCTATGAGCACTTTTTTAGCACTAAGATATGTAGCACTGATAGTAACTTTTACCCTCAAAATTTCATTCGAATCGGTAAAAGCACTCGGAAGAAAATTAGGTATAATAAATCGAAAAATAATACACTTTAACACCCTGTAGCTACAAAACAAAGCAAAATCTGACCTAGGTTGATATGAAAAAAAAATCCTATTTTTGCATGAGGAATCTCCCCAAGAAAGATGGCACATGTTTTTTGAAACACCCTGTAAAAAGCGCTAATTGCTACGACTATTAAATGTATTGAAAAAAAATCTCAAACAGAGACACCACCCGTTCTTATATATTTGTTATATTTTTAACAAAAAATGTTGTTTTTCTCGAAATATTGATTTTGACACTTAGAACATTATTTACAGTCTTCAGTTGCTCGTAACGATTTTTACAAAGAGACCTTTTTTATGTAAAAAATGGTGGAAATATATATAGTTTCGCTCAGTAGTTTTAAACAGGTACGGACGAAAAGTTATTACTATTCAAAACAGTTGAAAACATGTAGGTGATGCACCCTACATGTAGGAGTTATATTGTCCAAATATCACTATTATCAGAACTTATTTTCAAAAAAATGGAAATAAAAAGGGAACGTCTACACCCTGTATCTCCGAAACGAAGCACTTTAGGACATACATTTATAAGAACTTTTTTACTTAGTTCCATGTGTAGAATATGTTGGCGAAGTGTCTCAAATACAATTCGGACCACTCTGTATAGAAAATACTTAAAATAAAATGATGTTAAACCTTTATTGATAAGTGTTTTTTATATACTCCATGTTTTTTTTTATTTAGCGCAGCCTACAAACCTATTTGTATATAGAGTTTGGAGCAAAATTACAATATGCATCTCAATCTCAATTTGACACATTCATTAAGCAAAAAGTGTACTGTGTGTGTGACTTACTAATCCTTTATTACCAATACTTTTTTGTTGTTTGCTCTATACCCTATATGGAAAAAATGTGTATACAGGGCCCGGTAATAGAGAGTCGGGCATCTGTAGTTCCTAGAATTAAAAAAACTTGGGAATTTTGTTTAAATGCAAACCTAAAGTATGTACTAGGATGTATTTCAGGAAAATATTTTAACTGGTCGCTGAAAAAAAGTAGCAAAAGTATGATGATGAGTTCCACACTCTGTATATTATTGTATTTTTGGGTACTTTTCAGTTCACTTTACATAATCCTAAGATATGAGTAAATACATTTCGACAGTTTCAAAAATAAATAAATAAAAAGTATATACACTCATCGGCAAAAAAAACGGCCACTAAAAACTAGTCCCAATTTCAAAGTTGGATTTCTCGCGAAACACTCATTAGATTTTGATGATTTTTTTTTAAATTGTAAATTAATTCCTTCTTAACGGATGCTACGTCAGCAATTTTTATTCCAAATTTATTTTGAGCATATACAGGGCACAACAATAAAACGAAGTTTTTTGCCCAAACTTTGTAACACCCTGTAGGGTGCAGCAGCGGTAGTAGCTATTGATAAATTAAATCACATTGTAGCCTCATCTTTTGTGAGCATTCTATTGTTTTAATCACCACATTATCTCTGTTTGTATTGAAGATACGCTGCTTTAAAACAAACGCCTCGAAAAAAGCTTTAAACTCAAATCAAACATCAGAACCTAGACGTAAACTAACTAATACATGAAAATTAAAAAAAAAGGTAAAGAAATTTTAAGGGACTAATATCTAGTATCCACTCGCCTGGTGAAATTTCCCGTTACCATATACCGAGTCCAGGCATTCTGGACTGTTGTTCGAAATATACCCAGGGTATCGGAGACATAACGTTGACGTCGGCCATTCTGAATTAAAGCCACAATACGTTACAGATAATGGCATTTTTTTTAATTTGACAACCGTTTTTCTCATATTGCAAATAGTCATAAATCCGTTTCCGCCTATGTCGCCTTGATTATTTACACATAAAACTTTCTGCTTTTTCCGATATGAATTCTGAATTTCTCCGAGACGTTCGTTTTAAAACAGCATATCTCCAATACAAACAGAGATAATGTGGTG